TTTAATGGCAGCGGAAGGTCTATAGCTCATCAGACTCTTTAAATCTTCTTTTCTACCTCTATACTTCAGTACAAAGGTTTTACAATTGCCAGTGGCTACTCAAAGAAGGGTGATTACTAAGAAATAGGTCTTCGTTTTCATATCCCAATTTATGATATTTCTCATTCCTTCCCTGCTAAGAGAATTCATCTCTTATCATTTCTACTATTTGCCTCATATTTTATTATGACACTAATAGCAGTATCTTTAATAAAATGATGAAAGTGCGAATTAAAAGGCTTTAAAGACAAGCAAAGAGAAGAGGTGACTTTTAGAGTTTCCCACGGCACACTTCGAACTCATGACTCCAGGTTATCTCCCCAGTCCCTGACCCACCAGAGTAAGATATTCAAGTTCTCCTACTGGAAGACTTGACTTCCCACTCAGATCCTCAGACTGGGTGAAGTTTTTTTCTGTCAACTCTGACACAGCAATCTCCCTTTTATCATCCTTTGCTCTGATACATCTCCAATAGTGCTTTACTGTGTCATGCAGCCCAGGCTGGGAAGCAAAAAAAGCAAAAGTAAAAAAAATGTTTTATTTTTAACAGTGGGTCTTTACATTTCCTTAGTTGAAAACTAAATTGCCACACTAAACATTCCGGAATCAGAAGATATCAAAACATGGTTTGGACAAATGGTACACAAACAGCAGACATTGGTTAATATGGAAAATATTCATTCCTCTATTATCCAACTCATATATTTAATGATCATCTCCGGTGGTCAGACACCATTTTTGGCTCTGGAGATACTGCAGTGAACAAAGTAGATAATCATGCTCTTGTGAAACTTAGAGTCTAATCACCCTATCAAAGTGCTTCATCATTAATAAAGATGGATGATGATACATTTCAAGCCCAGAGAAGAAATATTTAATAATTAAAATTTAGTCATTAACCAGATTGGGGGTAAAAGAAAGTGGATTATTAGGTTCTGCTTAACTCATTCTCTTTGAGTTAATTCCAACTCATAGTGACCCACTGGACCCACTGAGAATCTTAAGGTCAGCAGTTCTAAACTACCAGCTGTTCCGCAAGAGAAAGATGAGGCTTTCTGCTCCCGTAAAGATTTACAGCCTTGGAAACCCTGTACAGGGTCGCTATGAGTCGGTTCCGACTCCACGGCACATAACCACCACCAGGGTGAATAGGGACAGAATAGGGAGTTCTGGTGTGGCACTGTAGGATAAGCACTCAACCACAAGGTTGGTTTGAGTAGCAAGGTCAGTGGTTCAAACTCATTAGCCACTCCTTGGAAACCTTATACAGGTCACTATGAGTCAGAACGGACTTGACAGCACTTACCAACAACAGGACAGAATAGAGAGAGTTGCCCCATAGGGTTTCATGGTTGTAATGTTTACAGAAGCAGACTGCTACATCTTTCTCCTGTGATGCAGCTGTTGAGTTTGAACTGCCATCTTCTGGTTAGCATCCAAGGCATTTAACTGTGCCAGCAGGACTTACTAGGCTCTTCCTTAATCAATTCTTAAAGGGATTAGAGAAAAAAAGTAGCATTTATTGCAACAACAAAAAGAAAGAATGAATATTCTTAGATCAGTGAAAATTTTGGTATTAACTTTTGAAAATAAGTAACCACTTGTGTGTGTGTTGTTGTTGTTGTTGTTAAGTGCCGTCAAATTGGTTCTGACCCATAGTAACCCTGTACAGGGTTTCCGAGGGTGTAAATCTTTACGGGAGTAGAAAGCCTCATCTTTCTCCCGCGGAGCAGCTGGTAATTTC